CTTCATTAGGACTAGAATTCAAGAAGATTCCAGGTTAGAACAGGTCTTCAGCAACCCATGCATGCCGTAAAAGGCGACTATGATTGTTGTAAAAGGCGACTAACGGGATCGGGTGGTCAGGCTCGCTGACTTGGTTGATACATGGCATCGATCCAAATTGCGTGGATCGATGCTCATGATGTCAATCACTGGATTGTCTGGTCCAGACTCGATTATTTTACAGACTGCCGTCATATAGCTGGAATATTGCTGAGTGCGGCGTTAAACAAACAAACAAACAAACAAACAAACAAACTAGAATTCCAATGTTCCAGATGTCGGATCAGGACACATGTAGTGACACATGATGCCAGGAAGTTACACTGGGGAAAGATAACAGCTGTTGAAATTGGCACTAGTCCTATAGTCCTTGCTAAACTGCCCAATAGTTAAGGTATCATAAGGACAAGTAGAAGTTTGCAATTTTTAAGGGTTTTGCTATATGTTATCATTATAAGAACTAGTGGACTAAAATTGTTAATTTGCATTGATGAAATACCTGGCACTGCCTTGGATTACAAAGCTTTGGTGTGACGAGACAACAAACTGTGAAATCTACAGTGATAATGTAAGCCCAGACGACCAGTGTCAGAATGTATGATTAATCATGCCAGAATGTGCAACAACATGTCAGAGGTGTGATAGTATGTGACAATGTGTGCTAGGAAGTGACAATGTGTGCCAGGAAGTGACAATGTGTCATGGTGAGGATGTGTGACAGGAAGTGACAATGTGTGACAGGATCTGACAATGTGTGACAGGAAGTGACAATGTGTGACAGGATCTGACAATGTGTGACAGGAAAGGGCAATGTGTGACAGGATCTGACAATGTGTGACAGGAAGTGACAATGTGTGACAGGATCTGACAATGTGTGACAGGAAAGGGCAATGTGTGACAGGATATGACAATGTGTGACAGGATCTGATAATGTGTGACAGGATCTGATAATGTGTGACAGGAAGTGACAATGTGTGACAGGATCTGACAATGTGTGACAGGATCTGACAATGTGTGACAGGATCAGATAATGTGTGACAGGAAGTGACAATGTGTGACAGGATCTGACAATGTGTGACAGGAAGTGACAGGAAGTGACAAATTGTGACAGGATCTGACAATGTGTGACAGGATCTGACAATATGTGACAGGATCTGATAATGTGTGACAGGAAGTGACAATGTGTGACAGAATCTGACAATGTGTGACAGGATCTGACAATGTGTGACAGGATCTGATAAAGGATCTGACAATGTGTGGCGGGAAGTAACAATGTGTGGCAGGATCTGACAATGTGTGACAGGATCTGACAATGTGTGGCGGGAAGTAACAATGTGTGGCAGGATCTGACAATGTGTGACAGGATCTGACAATGTGTGGCGGGAAGTAACAATGTGTGGCAGGATCTGACAATGGGTGGTGGGAAGTAACAATGAGTGACAGGATCTGACAATGTGTGACAGGAAAGGGCAATGTGTGACAGGATCTGACAATGTGTGACAGGATCTGATAATGTGTGACAGGATCTGATAATGTGTGACAGGAAGTGACAATGTGTGACAGGATCTGACAATGTGTGACAGGAAGTGACAATGTGTGACAGGATCTGACAATGTGTGACAGGAAAGGGCAATGTGTGACAGGATCTGACAATGTATGACAGGAAGTGACAATGTGTGACAGGATCTGACAATGTGTGACAGGAAAGGGCAATGTTTGACAGGATCTGACAATGTGTGACACATACATTCTCAGCAGACCACAACACTTACATCAACATTCTGTCATTTCAAACAAAAGAGGTAACATTTCAAATTCAAATAAACACCTAGGTATGAGGGCAACAATTTACACAAACACAGCCAGACAACAGGAGGGAGAAGTCAGCCAAGGCATTGACCACAGTGTCATTTAGGTTACCCTGGTAACAAAATACTCTATTGCCTCATAAAATGTCCGAATTCTGTACTGTCAAGCAAGCATGGGTAGATCAGATAGAAACAACAATACATTTGCATACCTGAAAGTTTTGTGCAAAATATTGAACCTGTTAAAAACATGTGATATATATACTACTTACACGGAAACAAGTGATTCATTTTTGTCTCAATATGTGTTCAGTAGATAGTAAGTCATCTACATACTATTTGCTCAATTAATACTTAATTCTCAACACATGTATATTATATCATTTGTGTATCTGTCTAATTCCAAAACCATCAAAAATAGACACACAAAAAACCCATAAAATTTGTGGGATATATTTGTGCTTCCAGATCGAATAACAAAATATATAAATGGTATTGTATTACTATCAAAGAAAAAATCTCAAACCACTTCAACATCCATGTACATGGTTTGGCTAATGCAGCTATTCCTTCATTCCAATATTTTTGTGTGTATCTGACATACTGTCTACATCAGAAATACCCGTTACACCATCAATGATTCACTGACATAACAACAACCACAAACAAGGTTCTCGAAGCGACCAAAATGTCATATACAGATTATGATAGAATAAACAAAAATATACACAGTACTATTATTCTATAGAAATGTAAGAAGGCTGCTCAAACACGCCATGTAGGACTCCCATTTGCAACAATCACATGTATAACAACGTTCTTCTCACCATGTAACAATATCTGATACAAACAAATAAATAACAACATCCTCACAACAACCTCATAACCTCTCTAAACCTCATAACCTCTCTAAACCTCATGGCATCTCTCCTCACATAGTCTTATTTCTCAAAAGCCTCTCTGATATCGATATATATCGAACCCAAAATCATAGGTTTCTGGAATGTCCAAGGGATGCAACTCTAGATCCTAAAAGAGGCATTAAATAATGCTGATATCTCATATAAGAAATAAATGACTCAAGGTTGTTGTTGTTTAAACATGACTAAGTTAATAGATTTAAAAAAACAAATGTTTCGTGTTTGGAATTAAAAAAAATAAAAAAATAGAATGATAAAAACATGGTATACATGAAGTGCTCCTGAGATTAATGTCAGTCAGGAGGATAAAAGTAAAAATAAAATGAAAGAGCAAACAGTTCTTGGGAAAGAGTTACTTCCCTTCCCAACTTGCCTAATTTGTCGTCAGTACTGAAATAATTAAACCAGAGACCAAATACCGATATATGGTCTCTGATTTAACAGACACAGAATTAAGATCCACATTAGTTAATTTATCAACTATAGGATCCATCAAACAAGTAATTAAACATAATACACCTCATATTATGCAAATAGACAGCAACAAATACAGAGAAATGGATAGTTGTTGTGCAATAAATGTGAATCAATGGCAATATCATGGTCCTAAATTGGTCAGTAAGTTCCCTGTCAGCTGAATGTTGTTCAATGTGATGCCGGTCAAAGACGTCTACCACTTGATCAGCAAATCCTGGCATGGATAAGGGAAGCAAATCCACACAGCAAACTGTGACAACTTATATCAGTGGGCCACCAGTGTCATAACAAACAATAATGAAATATGACGATAACAGGACTACCTGGCTAGCAATGGAGGACATTTCTAGAAGTTGAAAGATCATTTTCTCCAGAAACAATGTCAAAGTTGGTCTTGATATGTAAATTATTTGACTTCACATGAATTTATGATATATGATGATGAATCAGTGTTTCCAGAATGATAATCTGAGAAGAAACATTGATTATTTCTGCCTCAACATGTGGTGATTAAAACTGAAACATCTGTTTTTTAACAATCTTGACAGGAAAGAACAAGGCTTTGCATACATATATACATAAGAAATGGACTTTGTATTTTCAGGAGTGTTCACAACCATAGCACAATCATAATGAACATGGAACGTTACTTGAACAAACAAAATACTGAACAGCAAGAACATACAAAATATCATGAGACAGTACGAACACACAATTTGACGATCGAGTGATGATGACATAAGGGCTGGGACAGTAACTCGGGTCCTTGGGTCCTGAGTAGGATCCAGTAGGATCAGGGTACCCACAAACCCGTGAAGATTCTGGGGGAGAATTGGTCTTCAGCAACCCATGCTTGCCGTAAAAGGTGACTATGCTTGTCGTAAAAGGCGACTAACAGGATCGGGTGGTCAGGCTTGCTGACTTGGTTGGTTGATTCATGTCATTGATCCCAATTGCGTGGATCGATGCTCATGATGTTAACCACTGGATTGTCTGGTCCAGACTCGATTATTTACAGACCGCCGTTGTATAGCTGGAATATTGCTGAGTGCGGCGTTAAACCAACCAACCAACCAACCAACCAACCAACCAACCAACCAACCAACCAAACAACCAACCAACCAAACAACCAACCAACCAACCAGGTACCCACAGGACTACCTGGACCTGTGGTTAGTCACATGACAAATTGTTTTCATGACAAAAACAATAAAAATCTATGGTCACTCTACAAGTCACTTATGTTTGCATTAATTTCTGACTGTACGCATTCCTTCTGACTAAAAATAGAGCTTCTGTCAACTTCAGTGTATGCATGATCAGATCATTTTATATGTGTATCTAAATAGTTTCCCAGAGCTCTGGCAAAACAATTCCCCATCAGATATTTTGAACCCAACTCTTGAGGCTTGAAACCAGGTACCTGGGTAGTGTTGGGTAATAGGGGGTCGGTACCCAGGCAGTTAATAAATGTGGACTCGTCCCAGCCCTAGACGTCATGCTGTATCATACTTCCTTCACAACAGATTTGTGGTAAGTGTTTGTGAACAATTTTAATGTGAAGAACATGTAAAAAGTGATGGTCGACATCTAGCAGCGTTAATATTGAGTGAGTTGGGTTTAACGCCGCTTTTAACACTATGACAGTTATATCGCGGCATGTCAGCTTAATGTGGGAGGAAAGCCCGAAGTGATGCAGGTCTCAGACGTTTACCACTTCAGTGAAACCCACGAGCACTGGTATGGTGCTGGCAAACCTAGAAACATAATCTGGGCGAACCCACAATCATAGGTTTCTGGTGTGCCCAAGGGACGCAACTCTGCACAGCGAATCACGGCGCCTTAGACGACTGGGCCACCCGTGGCCGCCTGCAGCATTAATAAAAAAGCAGTAGTCTTGTAGTCCTTGTTAAACCACCCAATAGTTAAGGTAAACTAAGGACTAGAAGAAATTTGCCATTTTTAAGGGTTTTGCTATATGTTATCATTATGAGGACTAAAATGAACCCGAGTACACTTTGACCATCCAAACCAAAGGATGTGTGAGCTCTTGGGCCAATCAGATGTCAGATTTCTGAAACAATTCAACTTTTTCAATTCTTTCAAAAATTCTGATGTAACACAGAACATAAATATACGCTTAGTAACCTATCCATTTGAGAGTAGATGTGCTCAGGGTGTATAAAATATCCACCCAAAAATAATAGCATCATCGTTATTTTTTTGCATTCAGAACTGGTGGTTTATGATTGGTTTCCAGGTGCAGAAATCAGACATGCTGCTATGAATGCTTGCTCACTCACACCAAGCATTTAAAAGGCTCATTAGGAAGGTCACCTGATGCGACTACTCTGGATAAAGACGAAAAAATAGTATGTAAAAACTATAGAACAAATACTTTAGATAAAATTACCAGTAGTGTTGTCAATATTGGTCCAGGCCCTAGTGTCATGTGTTTGGTCATGGCAGAGTTGTCTGTTATAGAAACTTCTTAATTTCTTCCTTTTCACAAAAGGTTCCTTATTGGACCACTGACTCTTTCCCTGAATGCTTTTTCAAACATATCTAGAGGTCATGCACTTTCTTGTCATTGGCCGGTTCAGATGGAAACTCTTCCTGATTGGCTGACAGATCGGAACTAAGCAGGTGATCCTGAGCAGCACTGAGGCCATCTTCTGTTGTTTCTGGTGAATCAAAGAAATATCAACAAAGGCATAAGAATCTGAGGTGAGGTGAGGTGAGGTGAAATGGGGTTTAACGTCGCGTCCAAGACTATTGCACTTATACAGCAACGTGCATTCACGTGTGTGTGTGTGTGTGTGTGCGTGTGCGTGTGGCTGCTTGTACTAGTCCGGACTGATGCCGATTTATAGCACTAGCACACTGAGATACCATGCCACAGTTTAACATGAATACCCTACTCAGACACAGTATACTGACTCTGAGCCGACCAGTCCTTGTTTTAGTCCCTTATGCCGAGTGCCAGACAGGGTAACAAGTACAAACTTTCAAGGTCTTTTGGCATGACATGGCTGGGGATTGAACCTGGGCCTTCCGTTCTCAGGGCGGACACTACCACTAGACTATGGAGGCGGTCATAAGAATCTGAGATGTAGGCAGATGGATCTATGTGTTGAAACTATCACTTCAATGATGATTGACAGATTTGAGTGGTTATGTGCTGATGAATCAATTTCTGATTCTTTTCACGAAAACATGGCAGATGACACCAAGAAAAGGCTCAACACAAAAGGCATTAAAATCTCATTAAAATCAGATCTTCTGATGACTGCTAAACAAAGATCTGAAGACATCCCATTACGGGTCACGTCAGACTGACCTTTCATATGACCAATCAGAGCGTCAAGTCAACCTGTCACTGACAGTCAGAATGTGTTTTCTAATCATGCAACCTCAAATATGTAAACATGGGGTATACAAAAAGAATGTTACGTGCTGTACAACTGATTCAGTCGTCATCATCATCATCATCATCATCATCATCATCATCATCATCATCATCTATCTCTCGCTCGCTTCAGTCAGATAAACATTTCAATGTAAGAGACTTTGCATTGCCCATGGGAAGTACTGTCACACAATCTCAGCCATCTTTTAGACATTCCAGGATTGCATTTTGTTCAAGAAGCAAATCAAATCAATCTCCATCGTTCTGACATGATTAACTACATGCTGACCTCACATGGCTTAAATATTGCTGAATAGGGTGATAAACAACGAATAACAAACAAAAAATTCTCCCTCACCTTCAGCCTCTGCAGTCGTGTCGTCTCTGGTATCTTTCACTGACGGATATTCCAAAACAAACTTGTTCAGCAGACAGTATACAACTAAAATTACCACTGCTGATATGGACAGTGTCCGGAATGTCCATCTCTCCCCGATAATCTCGAAGAGGTAGCCGGTGATTAGACTTCCGATACCTTTACCTGAAACAAGAGGTTCGTGGTACTGACATAGGTAATGGAGGCATCATGTCAATACAGACATACAATCTGGGATGCTCAAAGGGAAATAGGGGATTAGCTGACCACAATGGCTGTTGTGCTTGAATAATTTGCATAAAAGCAGTATTAGTATTATTTGCATTACAATTTCATTTTATTTTCTAAGAACCAACCTCTAATTATGCTATTAAAATATGATATGTTTGAAAAGAATGGGCTTTTTGGAAGAAATTTTGTTCCTATGATTGTTATTATGTAATTATTACAAAAGGTCTTAATTGATCCCCGATTAACATTTTGTATTCAAATATTTCTTGTCCTCCTACATCTTTCAAACCCTTGCCGAACTAGGCTGGAATATCTGCGCTCGATCATAGCGCCAAAAGAGGCTATTACGAGTTATATACCGTCTATGTCTATCCTTTTGACCAATCAAATTCTACCTCTCACATCACTTTTGCTTAGAAGAAAATGGTGTCGCCCAGTGAAGACGATTTGAAAATCAAGATCTATATTGTAATAAAACAGGTCTTACTTTGTGAAGTGCATCAAATCACGTGAGTACCTTGATAAAAAACAGGACAAAAATTGGAAAATATCTGTTGGAAAACAAGTTTTTGGTACACATGCTTTGCAAATCCTGCATTCGACAGAAGTCAACATGGCTGTTTATGAACCTGTTATTGATTTTGTTACGCGATTTTGATGGGACTATGCATAAACCAGTAAGTCCAGCCAAATATAACTCCATAATTCCAGCCTAGTTCGGCAAGGGTGGAAACGGGACTTTTATAGTCAGTTAACTGCCTTGCCTCGGAAAGATGGTCCCTCTACCTCGTGGCATAATGTCTTAAGAAGAAATTTGTGAGACAAGAAATGAAATTGGTCAGGCATAGCTAAACATAGTAGCCCGGCTGGGACTGTAAACATGGAACAAGTGTGGACTATCATTGAGTGATGTCCCTTGCTGTACAACTATTGGACCCATGGTGAGGTGAGGTCAGGTGAAATGGGGTTTAACGTCGCGTCCAAGATTATTGAACTTATATAGCGACGTGCATGTACGTGTGTGTGTGTTTGTGTGGCTGCTTGTACTAGTCCGGACTGATGCCGATTTATAGTGCTAGCCCACAGAGATACCATGCCGCTTGTGAGATTCACTTCAATACAAAATTCTAGCCATTGATAAGATTGTCAGAAAAAGGACTGTCCCAAGTCAAACAGGTGCAAAATTAGCAAACCCACAAAATTGTAGCTGAAAAATATGCATAATTTCTTTAAGAATTACAAAAAAATTGTTGCAGAATCGAAAAAAAACTGACAAGAGGATTTGGGAGTTTGACAGCTGGGACTGATATACTCAGAGATCCCAACCAGAAATTGAGGCAACTGTCAATATCTGCAATAACTGGGGTCTAAAACTGTAATTGTTACAAAATAATTAGTATCAGCAATATTCACCATTTGGTTTAAACGGAAATAATTGTTTTGCTTTACATTTTGTCATCAAGAACTCCTCAATATCTGTCAACTTTCAAACTAAAACAAGGAGTTGGGGATGCAGGGTAATTATTTGGTCATTATTTGGATGAATACTGTAAATTGTTGAAATTAATGCATCACCAAAAGAATGTGACAGCTGGCCCCTTGCCAAAAAATGCAACTCAATATGAATGCGACACCCCACTATTCTCAAGCATCAGTGGATTTATCTATGAAGAAAATGTCTTCTCTCAGGTTTACAGGAAAATCCTCACCTTAATCCAACCTTACATTAATCCAATCACACACCAAATAGCACCGCTTATTAGTGCTGAGTAGAGCACTTCCACTAAAACAATACATAGTGTTTTCCTTAGAACAACAGATACTTTTTGTGTTAATTCTGTTGACTGGCATTGAGGAAGTTCAAAGGAAGAAAGTGCGTAGAAGGCGGGTGACAAAACAAAGGCTGTCGATCTAAAAATTAGTGTGATGAAGTCTATCCATGTGCGCTGGCTTGTGTCGGCCTTTGATGCAATCACAAAGAACAAAGACACCATGTTGCGTGGGTGGCATCTGTCTGGACTTGCAGGTGTGATCAGTGATGACATAAGTGAATAGAACTCTTGTCTTGACCCCAAGGGACAATTCACAGGCTGTAATTAGTGTTTGAATGACATTATCTATATACTTGTTACAAGTGCTGCTCAATAAACAGTGATGTGAAACACATAGTTGTTTGTTTTCAGTGTATGTCTAAGTTGGTATTTTTGCAATCCAAAATGTTTTATAGTTGATATAAATGTGATGATTAATAATGCGAGCAAAGACAACTCACATTTTTCGCATTTAATTCATGCTCGCGTTAATTTCAAGATTTACAGTATATCGTTATTTACAGCGAAGTATGTAACTATGTCTAAACTACTGGTTATGTTATTTTTTAAAAACATTTGAAATCATAATGGTTCAGTTTGGTTCAACCCCGTGAAGATCCGGGGTAGAATAGGTCTTCAGCAACCCATGCTTGCCGTAAAAGGTAACTATGCTTGTAGTAAGAGGCGACTGACGGGATCGGGTGGTCAGGTTTGCTGACTTGGTTGATGCATGTTATCGATCCCAATTGCGTGGATCGATGCTCATGTTGTCAATCACTGCATTGTCTGGTCCAGACTCGATTATTTACAGACCGCCGTCATATAGCTGGAATATTGCTGAGTGTGGCGTTAAACAACAAACAAACAAACAAAACAGTTTGCTTCAAAATAATAAAATGATTCTACTAAATCATAATAGAAGCTGTTTACCACATGTACTGTGACAATGACAGCAATGACTTTGATGAACTCTACACTTTTGATTCTAAGGTTCTGAACCAAGGAAAATAATTTTTTTACAGAAAAAGGGTGACGCTTAAACAATTATGAGGTCCCCACACATTACATCAATAATAATTACCAAATCCAAAATGGAGTCCTCCTACAAGACCCTGCACTGTTGCTTGCATGCCCGGCGGCGCGATGATGCTAGCGTAGGATGACACCGCTGACCACATGATGCCGAAAGTGATGCCATGGATGGGCTCCACCAACATAACGTACCAAGGCTGTTGGAGAAAAGAATAGGCGAGGAAGCGAGCTGCATACGCCAAGCACGCCAAGTAGAGACACGGAATATGACCTATCTTCTTGATGACGAAGCCTGATATAAAGAGACAGAATACTTCAAACACGCAGTTCAAAACTAAACATAACCCGAGGGTGATCTGGGTGCTGCCAAGATCTTTGAGGTACCAGAACAGGAATCCTTCAATGGCTCCTGTCAACATCCCAAAAAACATGGCTACGAACAGGAACACCGAGATGTGGAAGTAGGTAAAGAGTTTGCAGATGTTTTGGAGAAACTTGCCCGTGGACAGATCAGGTGTGGCTATAAGAAACTTGGCATCAACTGCTGCTATGAAACAGAGGATACCAAACAGGTAAAAGGACCATGAGAAGTCCACTTCTTCTTTGTGGGTCTTTACAGTGTCCATTATGAATGTAGATGTAATCGCAAAAATCGCAAAACCGATTGTTCCAAAAAGGCGCTGAAATCCCCACTGATGTCTCTCTTTTCCCAGAGTGTCATAAACAATGGCATCAATAAGGCTGAATGTCGGCGCAAAGGCTATGTTTCCGAGTAAATAGATAACAAAAAATACCCAGAATGTCACTCCAAACGAATCTTTTACTTTCTTGACTGAGCACCTATTGGCAAGATTCCTGTCACAGAGCGCATTGCAGTGTAGAACACTTTCCTTGTCACATGTGATCTGGTAGAAGGTTTTGCCGTTGTACCGCATCCATTTCAAGTCGTAGTCACGGCAATGCAGTGAAGGGGCTGCGAGTCTGTCTTGACGCATCTCATGCTTCATCACATCAGACACATTGAGCAAATTGAATTCAAGATAAGAATTGGATGTTGAGCTAACCCACAAGGGAACACACTTCCTCCCCTGGTAAGAAGAAACGTCTCGTGAAAAACAAACTTTCGATCCATACGCTCCTGGCATTGAGAACCCACATTTGGCACGGCATGTGATGTCATCGGAAGCTCTATGTGTGTTTCCACTGTTAAGAATCCGATACCCCAATGAACCATCTGCCCCAAGAGACGTGTTGTAAGATTCATTTTCCACTGACGTCAAATTTGCGTATTCAGACAACGTTAGCCTGCATTCGTTCTTGTTGTCCCTGTACTCTTGGCAGTCTTTGATGAAGGAGTCCATGATGTTGCAGTGGATGTTGAACCTGATGGGAACAGCATCTTCGTAGTGAGGCTTGGCCGGAACAATCAGCAGCAGCATGTACAGAATCCCTGTCAGGATGGTGAAGGCCATCAACACCAGGGTGTGTCTCCTCAGGCGGTCGGCCATTGCTCCGATCAGTGGTCGGATGAAGAAGGCGATGAAAGGCATTACTCCGTAGATGATGCCTGTTTCGCCCGAGGACAGGCCGAGCTGTTTCATGTAGATGGAGATGAAGGGTAGGAGGTCCCCCACAGCTGAAAGAAGAAAAACGAACTGACATGAGGGGAAGATCATTTTACATTCTGAAAATGCTCCGAATCATATTTTTGTGATGTAAAATAAATAGAGGTTATCACGCGAGTGTGTTTGGGGATGGTAAATATCCTGCATTAGGAATAAACATTGTATTAAGCCGGCCTTGGCGAGTTAAATACATAGTGTTTATTCCTAATACAGGATATTTACCATCCCCAATCACACAAGCGTGATAACCTCTTTATCATATAATGTCATTCTTTAATTCTGTGCTTCAAAATCGCTTTCCCTCTCTCACAAACATTATGGAAACATTGCGAGTTTTCCTGGAATGCGCGAATTAATATTTATTACGTCACAGGGTAAGTGATGTGTCAGTATATTAGACTGTTCTTTTGATAATGATAGCAATTATCCCTGTAGTTTATCCAGATTCCCGATGGTTAATTCTGACTCGATCGCCGAATGACGAGGGCGACGTCATGTTTGTTTATAAACAGTGAAAGTAGTCCCTACTTGACCTTTGATATTTGCATCTCTATCCGCATATAACCCCAACGGATTTCGTTTTTATCCGTTGGCTTTATCCTGCCGAGAAACCTACACATTATATGATAAAGCTCATTATTCTCCTCTTATCAGAGCAAACACTGCATATTTTGCCTGAAGAAATACTTCCTCCCCCTGCCCCCACAATGTGTATAAGTCGGCACTTTGTATGCTGTACCATATGCAGTAGGCTTACCCAAATCTGTTTGGTCTATCATACGGCATTAGAAATTGGCACTAGTCTTATAGTCCTTGCCCAACTGCCCAACAGGTAAGGTATCCTAAGGACTACTATTAGTTATCATTATAAGGACTAGTGGACTAAAGCTGTCTCTCAGTCTCTATATCTAGCCCATGAACAGGACCTCCAACATGCATCCTTCCCACAGACAACCTAGGCTTGTCGTACTTGGCAACTAGATCCCAAATGCATGGATTAAAGCTCATGATGTCTGTCACTGGATTGTCCGGTCTAGATCTGATTATTTACAAACTACCGCCAAAAAGCTGGAATATCACTGAGATAGGAAAAAAACAAAAGACAAACAAACTCTCACATGTCTGACTTTTCAGAACCAATGAGGGAGATTTTAGGATGCTTCACATGGTTGGAAAGTGTGCAAACCTGGTATGAGGGGTCATATCACATGAAACAAAACATCTTACAGAAAGGTGTCGTACATAGACATTTCAGGCTGTCAGCATAAACCACGAAATTTATCTTTCAACTCTAATAGAGCCCCCTATTTCTAATTTTGAGAGTGCCCTGGGCATTTATTATGTCGAATACGGTAATTCCAATTTGTGAATTCCTACTGACATTTGCTGCAGATTGGGGCCCAATATCAGCCTCTATGCAGGCCTTGATAAACCCATGCACATCACACACAAGACACATCACTTGTGAGGGTGTATTACTGTGTATTGCTGTCCATGTCCAGAAACATTCAGGCAAAACAAGAACTGTTTCAGGTAAAACTAAATAGTCCCTACTTGACCACACCCAGTGCAAGCTCACTGGGATAACATACACAGGACTCTGAATCTGAAGACCTGTGAAGATCGGGGGTAGAATAGGTCTTCAGAAACCAATGCTTGCCGTGAAAGGCGACTATGCTTGTCGTAAGAGGCGACTAACAGGATCGGGTGGTCAGACTTACTGACTTGGTTGATGCATGTCATCAATCCCATTTGTGTGGATCGATGTTCATGATATCAATCATTGGACTGTCTGGTCCAGAATCAATTATTTACAGACTGCCATCATATAGCTGGAATATTGCTGAGTGCGACATTAAACAACAAACAAACAAACGGATCTGCAGAGTCCCCATCCACCCCATGCTTGTCATAATATCTGACGAAAATGAGGATTGGGTGGCCACAATGCTATTAGCCGCTGGTCTACTTAACCAAGACACATTTACAAATTGCCTTCAAAAGCTGGACTATTGCAAACTGAAGCATCAAATGTACAATCACTCTATGTGCAAACAGATTTACCTGCTAAAAAGAAAAAATAATATCCTTTCACAGGTAACAAACGTTTGTTGACCGTCTGCCATGTCTTCGTTGTTGTAGGGTGAGCTTCCACAGCCTTGGACGATGCTTCTATGTCCCCACCGCCGCCACCGCTGCCGCCGCCGCCGCCGCCACCACCTCCACCTCCTCCCGTCCTGCTGTCAGCCGCCTTGTCAGACATGCCTCCTGAAACAGAATGTCAAGTTGACCTTAACTTGCTGTCCTGGGGATATCATTTTTACATTTCACTTTACAGACTCACCTTTCACAGAAAAAAGCAATTGCAAGTCAATAGGTGTTTTTATTGATATTGATTGTCATTTTATTTTTATGAGGAACATACAATTCTAACAGATATAGATCTTTATATTTTTCAGATACGTTCATTTTCTGGCCACTGGCTGATAATCATCAAAGATGTCCTAGAGCATTTTTCCATGTCGTAATTTTAGAGCAGAATGTTTTATCAAAAGCTGGCAAGATCATATAATTGTCCTGTCAGCATATTTATCTACCAAAATCACTATATACCTACTTTTTTCAAGATTCAATGACAAATACAGGTGTTAGATTATGTGGAAATATTCCACTGCAAAGTCTGATAGCAGATTTGTATTGTCAGACACAAATATTCTCATTATTCAATTAGCAGATTTGTCAAAATTATAATTTTACGATAAAATGACACAGTTATGATTTATCACACTAAACATGCTCACACGGAATCAGATTGATACCTTGGTAATTATATTGGTGATTAGGCATACTGAAAGTATTTGACACTTTGATTAACTCATCTGGTCATATTTTATTAACAAAATTACATAAATTTCCATGTCACAAAATGCAGCCATCCTTTCAAAAACCTGCATCAGTCCTTGCCATGTAAGAAAAAGGTCATTGCGTCAGTGGTTCAGGATGTTGTTTGTGAAACAATTGGTCTAATTTCAGCATAACAGGCATGGTTCTCTGTGAACAAACTGAGGTGATGTATTTGTTTTGTTTGTTGTTTATTTCCGAGCAGTGGTCCAACTACATGACGTCGGCCTGTAACTAATTCAAGTCTAGACCCGACAATTCAGGGACTCATATTGTGAGCAGTGGATCTATGCTGTCGGGGTATGATGAACCATCTTTAAGTCACCAAGCCTGACCACACGATCCATTTGGAGCCTGACCACACAATCCATTTGGAGCCTGACCAAGCGATCCATTTGGAGCCTGACCACACAATCCATTTGGAGCCTGACCAAGCAATCCATTTGGAGCTTGACCACACAATCCATTTGGAGCCTGACCAAGCGATCCATTTGGAGCTTGACCACATGATCCATTTGGAGCCTGACCACACTATCCATTTGGAGCCTGACCACACGATCCATTTGGAGCCTGACCACCCGATCCATTTGGAGCCTGACCACACGATCCATTTGGAGCCTGACCACACGATCCATTTGGAACCTGACCACACGATTTATTTGGAGCCTGACCACACAAACCATTTGGTTGCATGATGCTCACTCAAAAGATCGACTTCAGGAAGTATAACTTGTAACACTTACACGATCAGCTCTCAAAAGATCGACTTCAGGAAGTGTAAATTGTAACACTTACACGATCAGCTCTCAAAAGATCGACTTCAGGAAGTGTAAATTGTAACACTTACACGATCAGCTCTCAAAAGATAGACTTCAGGAAGTGTAAATTGTAACAATTACATGATCAGCTTTCAAAAGATCGACTTCAGGAAGTGTAAATTGTAGCACTTACACGATCAGCTCTTAAAAACTTGTCTTCAGGAAGTGTAGATTGTAACACTTACACGATCACAGCTTTCAAAATATCGACTTCAAGAAGTGTAAATTGTAACACTAACACGATCACAGCTTTCAAAATATCGCCTACAAGCAGGACAAATTGTAACACTTACACGATCAGCTCTCAAAAGATCGACTCCAGGAAGTGTAAATTGTAGCACTTACACATTCAGCTTTCAAAAGATCGACTTCAGGAAGTGTAGATTGTAACACTTACACGATCAGCTCTTAAAAGATTGTCTTCAGGAAGTGTAGATTGTAACACTTACACGATCAGCTCTTAAAAGATCGTCTTCAGGAAGTGTAGATTGTAACACTTACACGATCAGCTCTTAAAAGATTGTCTTCAGGAAGTGTAGATTGTAACACTTACACGATCAGCTCTTAAAAACTTGTCTTCAGGAAGTGTAGATTGTAACACTTACACGATCAGCTCTTAAAAGATCGACTTCTGGAAGTGTAAATTTTAACACTTACACGATCACAGCTTTCAAAATATCGACTTCAGGAAGTGTAAATTGTAACACTTACACGATCACAGCTTTCAAAATATCGACTTCAGGAAGTGTAAATTGTAACACTTACACGATCACAGCTTTCAAAAGATCGCCTACAAGCAGGACAAATTGTAACACTTACACGATCAGCTCTCAAAAGATCGACTTCAGGAAGTGTAAAATTGTAACACTTACACGATCAGCTCTCAAAAGATGGCCTGCAAGCAGGACAAATTGTAACACTTACACGATCAGCTCTCCAAAGATCGCCTGCAAGCAGGACAAATTGTAACACTTACACGATCAGCTCTCCAAAGATCGCCTGCAAGCAGGACAAATTGTAACACTTACACGATCAGCTCTCCAAAGATCGCCTGCAAGCAGGACAAATTGTAACACTTACACGATCAGCTCTCCAAAGATGGCCTGCAAGCAGGACAAATTGTAACACTTACACGATCAGCTCTCCAAAGATGGCCTGCAAGCAGGACAAATTGTAACACTTACACGATCAGCTCTCCAAAGATGGCCTGCAAGCAGGACAAATTGTAACACTTACACGATCAGCTCTCCAAAGATGGCCTGCAAGCAGGACAAATTGTAACACTTACACGATCAGCTCTCCAAAGATGGCCTGCAAGCAGGACAAATTGTAACACTTACACGATCAGCTCTCCAAAGATCGCCTGCAAGCAGGACAAATTGTAACACTTACACGATCAGCTCTCCAAAGATGGCCTGCAAGCAGGACAAATTGTAACACTTACACGATCAGCTCTCCAAAGATGGCCTGCAAGCAGGACAAATTGTAACACTTACACGATCAGCTCTCCAAAGATGGCCTGCAAGCAGGACAAATTGTAACACTTACACGATCAGCTCTCCAAAGATGGCCTGCAAGCAGGACAAATTGTAACACTTACACGATCAGCTCTCCAAAGATCGCCTGCAAGCAGGACAAATTGTAACACTTACACGATCAGCTCTCCAAAGATGGCCTGCAAGCAGGACAAATTGTAACACTTACACGATCAGCTCTCCAAAGATGGCCTGCAAGCAGGACAAATTGTAACACTTACACGATCAGCTCTCCAAAGATCGCCTGCAAGCAGGACAAATTGTAACACTTACACGATCAGCTCTCCAAAGATGGCCTGCAAGCAGGACAAATTGTAACACTTACACGATCAGCTCTCCAAAGATCGCCTGCAAGCAGGACAAATTGTAACACTTACACGATCAGCTCTCCAAAGATGGCCTGCAAGCAGGACAAATTGTAACACTTACACGATCAGCTCTCCAAAGATGGCCTGCAAGCAGGACAAATTGTAACACTTACACGATCAGCTCTCAAAAGATGGCCTGCAAGCAGGACAAATTGTAACACTTACACGATCAGCTCTCCAAAGATGGCCTGCAAGCAGGACAAATTGTAACACTTACACGATCAGCTCTCCAAAGATGGCCTGCAAGCAGGACAAATTGTAACACTTACACGATCAGCTCTCCAAAGATCGCCTGCAAGCAGGACAAATTGTAACACTTACACGATCAGCTCTCCAAAGATGGCCTGCAAGCAGGACAAATTGTAACACTTACACGATCAGCTCTCAAAAGATCGCCTGCAAGCAAGGCAAATATTCAGTTTCCACACTTGCCAGCCACTCTGTTACATGACCATCACCTCATTTAAATATTCAGAACATGTCTTCACATTTTTGTTTCACATCTGCGCATGCTGCAAAATGGCTGATGAGGCATGTCGTGATGACTTTGATAAGTGGTAATGGTTTGATTAGTATTCATAACCAGAAAATTTGCAAACCATTTAGGAGATAAACCTTCTGTGTTTTGAAATTTGATGTAGTCCCAATGTAGAATAGATACCTCTTTATTATAATTTGGAACCTCGCGCTAAAGCGCTTGGTTCAAAATAGGTATCTATTCTACAGAGGGACTACATCAAATTTCAAAACACAGTAGGTTTATCTCCATTCTACCATGACGACAACGCTTTGAAAACGGCGCTCTCTTGCAACGCGTAATAACACAGGTGCACAGGTCCGCAATCGGACGGTGGTTGACGGAGATGGCAACAAATATCAATCAGAAAAAGGTTTGTAAACAACATGTTGTCATGAATAAAGTTTTTTCAAACAATTTCTATAATGTTATATTTTACTTTCATTGTCGGTTGTTTCAATGAGGAAATAGCTTAAATTGTTCTGATTTTGGTCACCATAGAACATTTCTCTAACAGTTTCATAAACGTTTCATTTGTATGCAAAAGATATGCCATCGTTAAATCTTTTAATGTCATCGTCGAAGCAGTCAGGATTGCAACCTAGCCAATGCCCAAAACATCCGATATCAAACTACCGTATTTCCTCTATTTGACGCTACGCCATCTATTAATTTCGCGAGCAATATTCTATGAATCGATATGTAGGCTATCTATGTATTCATACGCACGTTTTTTGTGAAAAGGCTTATATATTTGAAAGGGGTTTCCGTAGCAAAAAGGAAACCTCTTTTTAACCAATCAGAATCAAGCATTCATCAATGTCATGGTAGAATATTTATTACCCTGGATATGACATATAATAATTTGTAGTTACATTTATGAGATGTATTCCTCACAATTGAGTGAGTGAGTTGGGTTTAACGCCCGCCTAAAACAGTATCCCAGTCATATCGCGACGTGTCAGCTTAATGTGGAAGGAAAGTCCGAAGTGAAGGTCTCAGACGTTTACCACTTCGGTGAAACCCACGAGCACGGGTATGGTGCTGACAAACCTAGAATCATAATTGGGGCGAACCAGGATTCGAACCCACAATCATAGGTTTCTGGTGTGCCAAAGGGATGCAACTCTGCACAGCTAATCGCGGTGCCTTAGACGACTGGGCCACCCATGCCCCTTATTCTTCATAAAATGACATGAATGATACGATACATTGAATGCAGTTTGCATATTAGATGTAACCCATTGGTACTATATGACTGACAATTTTGTCTGGTCCAGACTCGATTATTTACAGACCGCCGTATTATAGCTGGAAAAATGCTGAGTGCAGCGTTATACAACAAACAAACAAAATCAGATCATTTACTCTGATTCGATACCTCTCTGTGAAGATCTGAGGACACCTCCATAGCAGGTCAAGTCCTAATCAGCCTAATCGGCCAAAAATGTGTGGAGGCAGCTAGATTCTGGTTACGAGTGACCTGAGCATGCTAACCAGTACATCTGATTTCTACATCTCAAAACCGAAAAAGTTTCAAAAGTAAAAAAATGGCAGTGCCATTATGATGTGGATATTTCACATACAGTGTGGTTTCTGAGTTTCACAAATCTGGCATTTACGAGGTACACCCAAACAGGAGCACTTTTGCAGGAATATTTTTGTTCTGTGTCGGTTTTCATTTGTACGATTAAAAAGTTCCAAATTGAGGTGACACCAAAATGAAGCTAAATCGCTTTAGAAACCTGACAGCTCATAGACTCAAGAACCTTCTCAGCTTTCTTTCAGACTGGTTGGTCATAGATTGCATAAGGTTCGCCTGACACGACCTGCAAATCAATTCCCTGATATATCAGTGTCATTAACAAATCAAAACAAACAACACAAAAGATGAAATAGGAAAATTAATTTGCAAAAAAAGTGTTTGTAAAGCATATTGTTAACTCGGTCAATGGATCAGTGTGTACACCATTTTCATTCTCAACTCCCTGGGGAATGTACAACCTAAGCTGCCTGTGAGGTGCTAGAAGGTTACATACAGCCACATCCTACTGGGTACCCATTCACTGCTGGGTGAACTGAGGCATATTTCGAACAAAGTCACTTGCCCAAGGAGACACCACATGTGTTATACATTGTATGTGCTTCGGGGTGAAGGTGGTTGTTGGGAAATTCAAAATGGCTGCTACTGACAGTATACGGTATCATATCAGGTCAGTAACAACCATCTTAGATTTTTACTGACTGTATACAGGCTCATATGGGGTTAGTAGCTCTGCTCTCTGATTGGTCACTCTCACTTTGAGGCATTATAACTGATAATATGCCAGTGTACGTAGTTGGTACATCTAAAGAAATAATGGAGTGTAGCTTCAAGGTGGCAGCCACAGGAACAAAATGCATAAGCTCATATAAACACTTTAAACATGTCAGCATGGAGGTCACTGCAGTCATGTTGCATACAAAGTGCTCCATTTGGTTAAATCTACACACAAAATTTATATCAAATTTGTTGCAATGTATTTCATCATCTTTTATCATACTGATTAAATCATTCAATATACTGGCTTCAGTATATGCATGGAATTCCAGACTTTGACTGTACCAGCAAGAAAAGATTTTGCATAATTTGCCATTCTGCAATTACGAGTCTGCAGTTTGTAGAACTATTTCTATGAAGTAAGACGAGTTCTATGGATGAACAACTTCTTTATTACATCCATAGAACTCGTCTTACTTCATCACTCCAACTTCTAAATGCCACTCAAAGAAACTATTTCTATGGTTGTAGCAATTAGTTTCTGATACCTACGCATGATAGGTGGAACGAGATAAGAGAGATAGCTAGCTGCAAGGTTACTGATTATTTTGTAAAAAGTAGTTGATTTGATGTCTCTTTCACTTAGAGGTATAAAGTTGTTGCTGAATATATTTTGAAGTGACTAGTTCCACGAACCACCTCCATATTTTCTTAAGCGCAACTAAGTTTAGTTTTTCAAGCATCAGTGACTGCTTCTTTCAACAGTTATCCCAGGTAAGTAGTAAACAGGTAACAGTAGTAAAATTATGGCAGTATGAAAGAATTGTACAGGCAGCCTTCATTACAGATACTGGAAAAGTTCAATCTCATTAAAATTATATCTTAGTTCTCGCTATCGCTAAACAAAGATCTGAGGACATCCCATTACGGGTTACGTCAGAACGACCTTTCATCAACCAATCAAAGCGTCGCTTACCAGATCATGAAAGTGACAATGTATTTTCTAATCAAGCAACCTCGGAAACGTCAACACAGGGTATTCCGAACGACAGGAAGCACTGCCATACACTCTCAACCATTTATTAGACATTCTGAAATGTTCGTTTGTTCAGTTTTCAAAATATCATTCGAGAACTGTGTCAATATATTTTTCAAGCGTAGACAGAATGGAATTTGCCAGGTTGAAACGAGTGCCGTAAAGCTCAAGGAAGCTGCTTTCTAATTGGCTGATGTCGACTTCTTAGTCATTTCAGTCGTGGGTCAAAGTTCGTGAAAGGTCGTCCTGATGTGACCTGAAATGGGATGTCCTCAGATCTCTGTTTAGCGGCAGCGAGAACTTTGATCTGATTTTAATGAGATTGGAAAAAAATTGGACCCAATGACTCCATCTTTCTAAGAATTGGAGACGTTTGATGAAACCAGGGGACACACATATATTTTTGAAAAAAAGACATAAAACTTAGAATATGTTACCTTTCTTAACTGTCCATCAGGAATTCAACATGTCAGTGTCACTATATGTGTTCACATTTTCACATTTTATTTATTCACTTATCAAAAACAGTTCAGTCAGAGATAATGAATTGCACTTTCTTCTGTTCCTTTCATCTGCAGCCACATTCTGACCATCAGTTTTATGTAGTGTCTGAAAACAATGTACTACACAGACCCCTTTCATTTGGATTAGTTTCTCAAATGCCATGACAAGCTGATGGCCACATGTGACAGGGAAACATGGCCATAAAATTAATGTTGAAAGCTGACTGAGACTAGTAATTGAACCATCAAGCAAAACGTACATTGTAGTGGTCAGTTCATTTGGAATGTATCGCTGAACCTATTGTTACTGAATGCTACTGAAGACTTAGCATAAATGATTGATGTATTCCAATTGCTTAACAACTGAAACTTAGTGTTGAATTAAAGTAAATAACCAAATGTAAGATTATATGAAGTGCCATTTAGCTGCAGATATATTTATTTATACATGTACATATATGTTTGGCGCCTTAAGAACAGACCCATGAAGATTCCGGGGTAGAATAGGTCTTCAGCAACCCATGCTTGCCGTAAAGGGCAACTTTGCTTGTGGTAAAAGGCGACTAACGGGATCGGGTGGTCAGGCTCGCTGACTTGGTTGATGCATGTCATCGATCCCAATGGCGTGGATCGATGCTAATGACGTCAATCACTGGATTGACTGGTCCAGATTCGATTATTTACAGACCGCCGTCATAAAGCTGGAATATTGCTGAGTGAGGCATAAAACAACAAACCAACCAACCAACCTTTAGGAACTTAGTGTGTAAAACTTCACATGGCCATACTTTGAAATGAACACTGTACATGATTTGTAAATGCTTTCTTATTTAAAACTTCTGAGAGTCAATTATAGGAGTATCTTTTTTAATTATTGGTTGTACGGTTCAATGTGCAGACATTGAAACCATACAGATAGCTACCTAAACAGCATTTTGATGCCTATAGATATACTGTCACACTCCTCACTGTCCCATTTGAAGGAGAATGTTAATAATTATGCAAAACAATCTGTAAATCTCAATGATACTCTTCCACAAGTTTGAACTGTTATGATTTCAGAACAAGTATGTTTGTTCAAATACAAGAGAAAGGTCTGATCATGTAATATGCAAATGAGCTTGTGGTAGTGTTGGAATGCAAAGTCATCTCTGGGCTCTGAGTGTGAGGTGCCCCACAAACTAATCACTTCCAGGTCATTGTTTGAGACTATTGTTAAGGATATTTTTTTATCATAAGTTAAAGTTAACAAAAAACATACTTTTTAATTTTTATCCTAATGAGTCTGTAAGGTTTATGTTTAAAGTTCCTATTTATAGACTTGTATGAGCGCACGAGAAGAGCGTGCAAAGGACGATAACTCTAGTATTTTGTTATGTGGCTGAGTGAGAGGCACGCTCGTGTCTGTTGTTGTTGAAATGTGGAGCGTATAAAACGGTACGTAAACTTTATTTGTGTAAACAATTTAGTGAACATCTCTGTTATTATGATATCTAACATTTAGAATTGTATTTTTGGTTAAATGTAATGTTTTGGATAGATTATTTATCGAAAAGCAAATTTGTGTTGTTAGAATGATTTTTGCATTAATTGACTGCTATATACATTGTTGTTTTATTTAATTTTGCTGTCAATCCTATCCTTCTGAATATCTCGACCATATCATGGAATAAATTGACGGTTGGAGAGGAATTGTCGTTCGCTCTTATTTACAGAGTCAGTCAATTAAAGATGACCACAACCTGTCTGAGTAGAAAAAGTTGAGGTGAACTCAATGTTTGGGTCTTAGACCCTAATCACAGGACCATATAGCTAATAATAACAATAAACAAACTCGCAAAATCTTGTAGCAGGGCTCTTTACTTGGCCTCATCTACAATATTTTTGCGAGTTTGTTTATTATTAGTTACATGGTCCTGTGCCCCAATACACATTATAGTAAAACATACATACCTGCTTGCAAATGCTGGCTTCAGGTTGAATTATTTTCATGAAATCTATGGCACTCTGCACCTACACATGATGAACATTTGGTTCTGCACCACCTGAAACAGTGTTCATTTGACATGTCTAATATAAATGAATATGAAAACAATCAATGTTGTTACCATGGTCACAACTGTTATACATACTTGAGGAGTCTACTATTACCTGAAATCTATCGGACTATTGTATATGTCACATTAACAATTGTGTTTTATTCAACAATTGGCCCAGTGCGAAAGCACCAACAAATTCGCATACAAAGCATCGAGTCATGCGTAATACAGTACTTTTAAACATAACAGTAGCCTAGTATAAAATGAGAACAGTTTCAATCCAGATCTTGAAATCAAACAAAAACGATTGCTAACCACAATAAAACAATTATTCAGCACTGAATACAATAAACAGACGCATAATCAGATTACATACTGTCACTGGTGCATTGCATGTGTGTTGTTGAATCAACTTGAAAATCGTTTATTTAATAGACTCTATTCATAAAGAACACATCATGTGCTTCCGATTGACCCCTTAAACACTTGTATCATTAATAAATAGACATTTCACTGCCGGCTTATATTGAAAAAAACTGAGCACTTTAATATATTTAATACATGTATACTTCAATAAGCATTTTTTTTATAATGTGACTGACACTGACAAAATTGTATGGTTGGATGTATCTGTTTTAATTTATATAGATACTAAGCGACCGAGCCTTCCTCGCATCACTTCCGGTTAAATTCAACATGGATGGTTGGTGCAGTTTGGTCATTTTCAGCTATGTACTCTGTTTTGTACATTCCACAGATGTCGTGGAAACCAACAGCAGCTCCAATTTCAAAATAGAAGGAAGAGTAGAAATTTTGTCATCACACGATAAAAGTTGGATGTCTAACACCCGAATCCTGGTCGATGGGGACGATTACGTTGCATATCTGAGGTAGGCTGATTCAATGCAAATGGCTTCATTACATCTCTACAACCTTCTTGAGCCATAACTGACATATTCATTAGGTTTCTCGTTTGACTTTCGTCCCTGGCCACCTTTAACATGTTTAAGGTGATTCCTGATAAAAAAACATAAAGATTTCCTAATAATACTTTGAATTAATTCGTTAAAAGAAATAGTAAACCCATATCTCAACTCGGAACTGTGTCTACAGGTTCACTCCAGGTTTGTCTACGAATTCACCGTAAATTGTGTCTACGAGTTAGGGGTCTACGAATTCACCGTTTCCTGGGTAGGTTACCCCCAATATTCTTATCCCTTGGATCAATCAAGCACCCCTTTACGATCTTCAGGGTTTGGGCTTCACTTCCTGATCAATCACTCCTTTACAATCCTTTGGGTTAGACACCCCTTTATGATCCTTAGGGTGAGTGTGTTATGGGTTAACTACCTCATTTAACAAATCAATCCAATTTTAATCTAAAGAAACTCTGTAATTTTTTAGTTTCATAGTGCCCGTGGTAGGGTTTTGCCTGATAGGACTAACTCATAAGCCTAGCTCAGCTTCAAACTGGCAACATGAGTTCGATCCTCCACAAAGCGCTTATTGAAATCCAAAAAAGTGCACCTGGTAGAGTGCCCTTCTCCCCATTTTTGTGTCCATCATGCGTTGGCAATCATTAGCATGATTAGGTATTTTCAACTGTGAATCACGTTCACACAGTTAATTACATCACTTTTGTTGGTTCACTCTCTTGAAAATCAGGAACAAAGCCATAACATGTTAACACTCTGATTTATATGATTGTGTACATATTGACCATACTAATATGAAAGAACTGGGTGTTTTTTAACATCTTTTTATGAGTATTTATAAGTGCTTGTTCATATATTAGACTGATAATCAAGAAATTTAGGAATGTAGGATTCTAGGAATGCAATATCCTCATCAACAATGATCAATATCATTTGAAATACACCACGACAAACATGATATTGATTTATCATGTTAAAGGTACATAATATGTCAGTTAACAATTGTGAATAAACCATGTTTTTGAAACCAATGAATACTCATGTTTGCTATTCTTGTTCAACAGAAGTGATGGCTCTTTTGTTGTCAATGGTTTGCCCTCCGGTTCCTTCATTGTGGAAATAGCCAACCCCACATACCTGTTTGAAGCTGCCCGGGTAGACATCACATCCAAGGGAAAGATCCGGGCTCGGAAAGTTAACCACCTACAGCCCAACAATGTGAGGGCCATGCCCTACCCCCTGGAGTTCCGAGAGAGGGGCAAGGCCAACTACTTCCAGGCCAGAGAACAGTGGAGAGTGCAGGACTTCCTATTCCATCCAATGGTATGTTTTGTCACATTCACCACAATATTTCTTCTTGACAGTGGCATAGATTCATGAACTGGATCAGTGGACATGGCAGATGTATTTACATAACTGAAGAAATATTGTATAAATCATTTTTCACAAAATACAAATGCACATGCACAGTGTTAGGAATGAAGTGGTCCACAAGGGTTGCTGTTATCAATATTGTAGTATTTTTAGGGGGCACAGGTGGCCCAGTCGTCTAAGGCACCAGGATTCCCTGTGCAGAGTTGCGCCCTTGGGCATGCCAGAAACCTACCATTGCAGGTTCAAATCCCGGTTTGCCCCGATTATGTTTCTAGGTTTGTCAGCACCATACCCTTGCTCGAAGGTTTCACCGAAGTGGTAAACGTCTGAGACCTGCATCACTTCGGGCTTTCCTCCCACATTAAGCTGACTCGCCATGATATAACTGTAATACTGTTAAAAGCGACATTAAACCCAACTCACTCACTAGTATTTTTAACATGGGATGAAGACAAGAGTTGTGACTTTTGTTCCTAATATGGAAATCTGCTTTAGACTTTACATGATGAAAAGTGAAATAAGCTTTGGTATTGTATCTTCATTTTATGTTGAAGGGTTTCTGTCATTATAGCTTTATAATAGTTTTTTTTAACCTTTTCCAGTTTTAGCTTTTCACTATAAGATACAGTATATTGAGTGAGTGAGTTTAAATTTGAACAGTATTCCAGTAAAACCCACGTGCACGGGTATGGTGCTGACAAACCTAGAAACATAATTGGGTGAGAACTGAGATTCGAAGCCATGCTCATATGTTTTTAATGCGCCCAAGGGATGCAACTCTGCACAGCGAATTGTGGTGCTGAAAACTCTTCAGAATTGTAATTCATGTGACTTTTGTCCATGATAAAGTTTATCGTGCTTGATGGTATTTCGCATAAAAAGATGGAGAATGACATTAAAATACTGGGTGGAATGATGATGAAAGAATGGCAATTTTGAGTGAGTATGGTTTTACGCCGCTTTTAGCAATATTCCAGCAATATCACGGCGGGGGACACCAGAAATGGGCTTCACACATTGTACCCATGTCGGGAATCGAACCCGGGTCTTCGGCGTGACGAGCGAACGCTTTAACCACTAGGCTACCCGACCGCCCCTGGCAATTTTGAAGTTATATATTCATGATAGTTGGAATGATAGACCTTCTTGTCATGCTTATAGCATGTAAAGTTCATGCTATTTGTTTAAAAGGGCAATAGCCTACTTAAGCCTGGTAGGTGTATTCAAAACGTAACAACAGCATGCTCACTAGCTATGTTACATCATAACATGGTATAATTCATAGTTCTTAAATTATGGATTATTCTCTTATATTTCATTTTTAGGACTCATTACTTTAATGAGGTTTTATTCTGCGATCAACTGATGTAGAGTATTCACTAGTCCCTTCAACTACTATTTGCTAGCCTTTGGACTGGCAACTCTAATAATTACCAGTTCCCCCTACTTTTTGTCAGTTTCAACTTTCAACAAACTAAAAAACATATGAAAATTACCTGGTTTTAATTCTTTCAACATCTTGTTCAGTGCAGTGCCATCATCTCTGAAGTAACTTAGTTAGATCTACACATCATTCACAGAATGTTCAGTCACAATTTTCTCCTTTTTTTGAATATTTCGAGACTAAGTCACTACAAATGTTATTTCCTTGCATTAAAAATATACAAGGGGAAACCCTGATGGTAACAGACAAGCTGGCTTGGTTTGAAAAAATATACTTATATGAATATAGCTGAGGTTTTGTTCAACAACAAAGATTTATAAGGTAGTGTACTTTATTTGCCGGTCCACAGGGACTGGCAGTCACATGACTTACCGGCCCAAGCCTTATTTTACTGGTAAAAAACTGGTAATTACCGGTCAACGGAAACACTGCTGACTTACTGTTATGAGAGGTTACATGTTGTGTTGCAGGTTCTGACAATGGTGCTGCCCCTTGCTCTCATCATGGTGTTGCCCAAGATGCTGAATGCTGCTGACCCAGAGACACAGAAGGTAAAAATGGCATTGTACTTCAAACTCATACCGTGGGATTTCAGGTTAGAAATTGGATAAGACTGCTGTATTTAGGGCAGGCTTTTGAGATCATAAATAAGTGCATGAAGCAAATGGATGTGAGTTGTATTTCACTTTTTCAGTGATTTCATCACTATTTGTTGTGGTGGATTGTGATACCAGTGGTATCGTCAGTCTATATCATCATAGTATCATTTTGCAATGTCTCAGGTGATACTCAGCTCTGGTATTTCTATAAGTAACCCTTGATTGTTGTATTACCCTACTGATCAATCATTACTGGTTTGCATGGTATTTATGTCAAGTGGATCACAGGTTTCAGTGTGTCAGTTCACATTATGGAATGGTTTATACTCAAAGTGATGTGTTGTAATGCTTTGTTGTTTAACGCCATACTCAGCAATATTCCAGCTATGTTACGGCAGTCTGTTTATGATCGAGTCTGGACCAGACAATCCGGTGATTAACATCATGAGCATCAATCTACACAATTGGGATATGATGACATGCATCAGCCAAGTCAGCGAGCCTGACCATCCGATCTGTTAGTCGCCTTTTACGACAAGCACGGGTTGCTGAAGACCTATTCTTCCCCGGATCTTCACGAGTTTGTTGTAATATACCAACTCCTAACACCATCACCCTCTAGAATAAAACTGAACTGTGACATTTGTTCCCTGCAGGAGATGCAGACCCAGATGAGTGCCCTCAACTCCAAGCCGAACATGCCCGACATGTCCGAGATGTTCACAAACTTCTTTGGCGGCGGTGATGCAAAAAAGTCCATCAAATCCAAACAAAGTTCAAAGAGAAAATCTTGAGTTCAAGCCTCTGTTAGGCATCTTGTATCACTCATTTAGGCAGAGACAGAATTCTATGTGTTTTTTTTCAAAAGATTTTTATGTCACTTATTTATTGCAAAAAAGGGAAGTGTATCCCTTGCAACATCATTTTAGGATTTTGAATAAAGCTGTGCAATTGTTGATTGTTTATCCAAATTCATAATGTTCATGTTTCAGATATGTATCATTTGATTTATGGTGATGATATTTGTCCTGTTATATATAATATGGTAATATGGGTCCCTGGACAGATGGTACTATGAGAGATGATTATCTGTTTTATCCGCTTATCCTTCTGTACCATTAGTTAAGTGTACAATAACTAGTTAGCAAGATTGATCCTTAATGTGGTCATTAAAGTCAAACAGTAATGATGCTAAAATGACCTTATAAGGCTAAAGAAAATAAAAGAGTTGTTTTTTGGTTGTTCAAACTAGTATGTAACCATGTAAACAGCTGTGTACAATCAACCTGGGAAAGGGCCTCCCTACATAAATGTATTCCTTGATGAGTAAAATACTGAAATACAGTATTTGACTACAGTGGGACTTGGAATATTTAAGGATTTTTTTTTAAGATGCAAATATAAACAAAACGTCCGGCAAACTTTATGATGATGCAGGTGGTGCCTGAGAACCAAGACTATTAAGACAAAGTTTAAGAATTTTGTTCCACATTTATGTGTGTTCGAAATGAAGATTTACACTTACAATTGAACTGTGGACAATTTGATTTATGTTTAGGTGAACGTTGAAAGCTAGTTTTGTTTGATTTCCATCCCTGTCATAGCCAAGCTGGGAAGGCATGTTCAATGAGCTTCATCCATCTTTTTGTCATGTTTCGTTTGGGAATCATAACTAAGAAATAAATCCAACACTTCATGAAACTTAACAGACGTCATCCTGGAGCTAACTTGGTTTTAAACTTCTCAAATTTCATTATTATTTCAACAAAGCAGGGTAAGACTTATCCTTTATTGGATCTCTTAAAACCATGGAAAAACTCTTCTGTAAAACTATATTCACTAGCAGATCTTGTGGTACAATTTTGCTTTTAGAATTTGGTAATCTTTTAAAAATAAGTTCATATACAGCTATCAGGTATTAATAAAAGCCAGATTGTTTTGTTTACAGAACGTTTCAATTTCAGTAAGTTTGGACAAAATTTTAATAAGTACTAAAATTTGAAAAGATAGAAATATTTTCCAAAACCATGACTCCGCTCAAAAACAGTTGCGATGCATTCAATTATGTTAGAGTTTCTTGTGCATTTCTCATACCGATAACCAGCATGAACCAATACATACAATGGCTATTCCTAATAAGAAAGATTTGTGTGCATTTCGGTCAGTTGTATGTGTGTGTAATTCTGTCTGATCTTGTTTTTTTGGAGCAGAGTTAAAAAAAATAATTCTACAGTGATCATCTGCATAAAGATGTTTTGTATCACAAGGATTCTTCCCATCTGGGAATGAGGAATGTTTTGTTACAGGAGTGTACATTTATTGTACAGTATTTGACATAATAAGCGCCATGGGCACTCTCAAAATTAGAAATGGGTAGCTCTTATTGGAATATAATTTTGGTGAGAAAAAAAAGATTGTTGAAGTTGAAAGATTGTAAATTTCGTGGTTTATGATGACAGCCTGAAATGATACAAAAGAAAATTCTGTGCGTATTATACACGACAGATATATTTTCCAGAATATAATTGCCCATGATTAAGGGTGCATATAACACAGGAGTGTGTATTATACATGAATAAATACATCTTGAGTACATTGATCAATCGGAAGGGGTGCTAATTGGGATTGTTCACTAGCCAATATATCAGCAAATATCGCCATGGGCGCTTATTACGTCGAATACGGTATTTCTATTTATGAGTGGATGGCGAATGTTGAAGTAGTCGGTGTTGTATCCAGCACTTTCATTGTACATTCTGATCATTCTCTGTACTTGTCATCGTCACTACTTCATAGGTTTGTGCACTACGTTCATCCAGCCATGGATACCCCCTGAAGTGTTGAAGTGCCGTTTATAAGTCCAGCAATGAATAAAGCTATGTAGAACTCCTGAAGTCACAGCACAATTTTGTGTGAACCCCACTGTTGCCAGATATGGAAGCAATGTGCCGGGGAGATGGCTGCAAGACTCTTGCACACACATGCTTGATATACTGTTTGTGTGATGTAAACTGTGCTGTCTAGAGTCAGGCATTGGCTGGTTTCCCTCCTACTGGAACCATGGTTTGTTTTGTTGGTTGCGAATACAACGTCACTGTGAAGTGGTTGTATTCACAGAGGATGGAGGAACGTGTCTACAAACCCTTGAAGTCTTGACGATCCTTATTGGTAAAATCTGTGTGGTCTCACATTGAGACTGAATCTCTGGCAGTGGTTTAGGAAACATGATATAGCAAGGGACTATTAAGTGCAGAATAAATATTTCTTCTTTCTTCTTCAGATTGAATACTGCCATGTGTCAATACATTAACAATGATCTCACCATGGAATTTCTTTTGGTAGATTGGTTATGTTCGTCCTTGGTGAGAGCTTCTTCAAAGACACAGCTAGTTCCTCATATTTGCAATTTTTTTAAATGGAAGTATTTGATAATGTACAAGTTGTACTAGCATAGACAAGACAAAATATTTTGCTCCTGTAAAGTTCAAGATAGTAATCCAGAGTTATCCCCCTTGACTTGTGGATATTTTATTTCTGCTCAAGAGTGTAAGTTTTTGATTTGATGACAGGTTGCATTACTTTTTATTTCTGTCATCCTTTTCATATTGGTTTCAGAATTGAATAATTACAGTGATGTTAGACAATGACTATGAACACACTTTTCCCTAAGGGCATTGTGATGCTGGGATTCAGCAAAGGTGCTTTGAATGTACACATACATGGCACCTTGATTAACAGCATACCGGGGTAATACTTTGCCATGAAGACTTCACAAACTGTGTTTTAATATACTAGAATATGTATCCTAGATACAGGATTTATATAATGAATTATGTATAGTGTTGGTTGTTAAAATTCATATTAATCACACTTTCATGTATTGTTCATAATTCATTTTGTAGCTCAAATCGTCGCTGTTTGTATATTTTGTAATTCTTTTAACAGGTGCACTCAATATTAATCTCTAGATTTCTTTCTCTAATTTTACCATGATGACCATACACAATTCCCGATTTGGGGAGTGGAGTGGGTGGGGATTCGCAGGTCTGTTTTGAAACACACTAAACAATCATAAATTTGTAAGTCTGGAAGGTGATCAGGTATACTAAAGTAAGAGTATTACAACACCGTAACAAACTCGTTTATAAAACAAAAATTGCCCAATCACAGGCCACCCCTCCTTTTTAAAAAAAAGCTGTACCCTTGATGAAATCTCATGTATAGATTATGCATTTCCCTGTAATATTTCAATGAAACTATTGTGTTGTCATTATTTGCATGGAGTGTGTTGTGTGTATTGATGGATGTGTGAGGATAGTGTTTTACTTGTATTTCTCTGTACAATACTGTAATGTTTCTAAATCATGGCAATATTGTAAATAAACCATTTCTCTTAGTTCAGTATTATTTGTCTGTTATGATGGACGGGATCATAAAGTGATAATGGTGTTCCACAAACTTGTAGCTGGACAAAAATTTATGTGGCCAGAGATTTTAAGCAAAATTCATCTCATTGTGTTAAGTGTGCTGCATCCACATGAAACCTTTTCTTAAGTGTGCAAAATATGTCCGCCCTTTAAGAATTATTTTCGAAACATATTCCTGGGTGTAGAGACCATCCATATTATATTCTAGGGGGTGCCCCGTATTATTTTGTTGCAGGAAATTATAAATGTCCTGAAAAAATGTGAAAATATATTTTTGTTTCCTTTCAGAGAAAAATATGAAATATTGTATATTTTGACTCAGTGATTAAAAATACCTCCGGAGAGGTGGGGACCACAAGGCAATGTGAGAGGACATGTATAGCAGCCTGATCTATTCCCTACCCTCAGTGGGGTGATGGTTAAAGAGTTTTTTCATGAGGGGTACAATTTGTTAACATTGCTTTTTCATACTAAAGCTTCAGGTATATCAGTGATCTTATACTACTAAAAGTTTGCTGAGGATCACATTTTACGAATTTAAGAAAACAATTCCCGTTCACAAATACAATAACCACGGATAAAATCGTGCAGATAAATATTAAATTGAAAGGAAATGATTAGAATGTGTTATCGACTGGTAAGGTAGGACTGCCATAAAAAGGGATCATGACAGCCACCAACACATCTCCAAATCACAGAACGAGATTGAGAATTGCACAACAACTTTCAATAGCGCGTATGTGATCCACCAGATGCGATGACAGCCTGGCACCGTCGTCTCATGCCTCCAATAAGCGTCTGGATGGATGCCAAGGGAAGATTGTTCCACTCTTGGGTGAGAGCAATTCCGAGTTCTTGGAGAGAGCCTGTATACACAGGATGACGTGAGATGGACACATGAAGCATGTTTCAGAGGTGTTCGATCAGGTTGAGGTAAGGTGAACGAGCTGGCCACTCCATACGGACGATTGTCTCTTGCTCAAGGTAAGCAACGACCACTCTGGCACGATGGACACCTTCATTATCGTTCATGAGGATGAAGTCAGGACCAACTGCACTAGCATACGCCCTCAAGGACACATCCAGGTTCTCATCCCTGTAACTCACACCTATTCCCCAAGCCCAGATTCCACCCAAACCATTATTGGGCCACCTCCCCATCTACCCGTGAAGATCCGGGTAGAATAGGTCTTCAGCAACCCATGCTTTCCGTAAAAGGCGACTATGCTTGTCGTAAAAGGCGACTAACGGGATCGAGTGGTCAGGCTCGCTGACTTGGTTGATGCATGTAATCGATCCCAATTGCGTGGATCGATGCTTATGATATTATTCACTGGATTGTCTGGCCCAGACTCGATTATATACATACCACCGTCATATAGCTGGAATATTGCTGAGTGCGGCGTTAAACAACAAACCATCCAACCAACCAACCAACCAACCACCTCCCCATCCGTCATGTTCGGTTACGTTCGCATCCTGAAACCGCTCTCCTGCTCCAAGCCACAACCGAGCACGTGGATCAGTGAGGTCCTAACAGTGCCGTGACTCGTCTGTGAAGAGTACGGATGTCCAATCATTGATTGTCCAATTGACATGATCTCTCCAAACGTGCTTGCCTGTGACGATGGGTAAGAGGGATGTAAATGCATGCTCTTGTTGACTGAGGACCAGCCTCCCGCAGGCAATTACGGACTGTCTTTAGTTGAAATGTTTACTCCTGTGGGTTTTTTCGCAGTTCATTTCTGAGCGTGGTTACCGTCACAAAGTGATAACGTCCTGCTGAGAGAAAGTGAAACCGGTCATCTCGCTGTTTGGTGGAACGTTCACGACTACCCCAATGTCGTTGTGTACTTGAACCATGAGTCTGATACCGATTCCATGCCCTGCAGACCACGCTGTGACCCACACCAAGAACGTTGGCAACGTGTCGTTGTGTTGCCCAAGTTTCAAGCATCCATACGCATTTGGCGAATTCCTCGACTGTCAAACGACGTCGTTGATGTTGTGGGGGCATTTCTGATTTATTATTTGCAATCAACGCTTGTCAGGCTTTAAAACAACGGAGTGCAAGGTTCCAAAGACAAACCGTCAACTGTGGTTATCATGAATGACGTGCATCACGTGCATATGGTTTTCCTTCACAGCATGCCTTTACTTTTTTAGTGAGGTAGTGGGGCTCCAGAGGGGTCACCCAATCATTGCGTATCGGGTTCTATTCCAATATGACTTCATATCATTATTTCATGTTGCATTAAAGATGTGATCCTCTGCAAACTTTGAGTAGTATATATCGTTTAATTATCGTCAAATTGCCAATCACCTTCCACTGATTTACCCACTTGAACACATGTTGAAATAGGCCGGAGAAACCGCCTCGCCATTTTTATATTTAGATCTAAGCTTAAAATGTGGCACGGGAAGCCACGTCTAAGGCGCCGCGATTCGCTGTGCAGAGTTGCGTCCCTTGGGAACGCCAGAAACCTATGATTGTGGGTTCGAATCCCGGTTCACCCAGATTATGTTTCTAGGTTGGTCAGTACCATACCCGTGCTCGTGGGTTTCACCGAAGGGGTAAACGTCTGAGACCTGCATCACTTCGGGCTTTCCTCCCACATATAACAGATATCTGTAATAGTGTAAAACTGTAATAGCAACGTTAAACCCAACTCATCCACTCACTCTAAGCTTGAAGATTCAGAGTGACAAAAACTCTCCACGAAACTCTATGACAAGAGGGATGACTTTCCAATAATCAACTTTCCCTTTAGATCAAGCAATACTCCAGCAGCTCCAGTTCTAGTGTCTGCATTTGCCAACCTTTTGAGGTATAATCGAGCATGCTCTTTCTACCAAGATTTCAAAGAGCGCCACAGGACTCATGCTCAAAGTTGTTGGAACAGGGTTACAACATTCACAGCCTGTCTTGGTAAGGCTTTCCAAACGTGGAGGACATTTCCAAATTTGACACATCAGAGACCAAAACGATCTCCGTTGCAATTCTCTATTTTGAATTTTACCATACGCTCCTGTCTTCTATTTCAGATGAACTGACTTGCCTTTGCATGTGTTTGTGATCGGTATCACCGGTTGGGCCGGACACGCTCCCCTTTTTGCGAACATCTGTTATCGCTATTTGATATTGAATCTGTTTTTGGTTGCAATTTCTTATGATAATATTGACATTATTTTGCCGCTTGTATTTACTCATCAAATCTCGTAATTATCCGATCATAGGCGATACGACGCCTCTCTGCGTGGAGAACTATCCGAGACCCCCATAACAAGCTACGTCAGGCGTCGAGGCATCTAAATTACCGGTACGAGTGATTTCTGTATCTCGAAAACGATTATAACCAGGGACTAACGACAGCCAATATGTGAAGCACCGCCATAATGTTGTGAATGTGCTATACACCCTGTGTTTGTAGCGCCATGACATCCACAACAAAACGTGAGTACGAGTTTTATTGCGATTCCTGACTCATCTCACCCGTGAAGATCCGGGTTAGAACATGTCTTCAGCAATCCATGCTTACCGGCGACTAACGGGATCGAGTGGTCAGGCTCACTGACTTGGTGGATGCATGTCATCGTATCTCAATTGCGTGGATCGATGTTCATGATGTCAATCACTGGATCGTCATATAGCTGGAATATTGCTAAGTTAAACAACACGCAAACTAAACAAACAGCACCAAAACACTTACTCATCTACCTCGCACACAGGATGGGGATACCCTGCCGGAATAAAGTGATTTAGTTTTTTTTAAAGTGTTGCCATAGAAATAAGCATGCTCTCCAGAACTAAAAAAAAGACTTACACCTATGAGACACTATGCATTAGCTGCTCTTCCTGCACCGCATGTAATATTAATACATTTTGAACAATTTCTGGAAACAAACCGCTTTACTGAAACAAGAAAAAGTAAAAACAATTCTCATACTTTTGGGATTAATGTAACATTTGGATGGTAGCCTATCGTTACCAATCACCATTCATGCACCATTCCGTTTACGAAAAACACCCTGTATGGGCGCTTGGAATGGCGTACAGTTCTGATTCTGAATGAGAAAGACCGTCACAAGTTATTGCCAGGAAAAATCATCACCTGATGACAATGATGCCATTTTGAGAGAAAGTTTGACGCTGGTTCCCGTGATGAATATCCAGAGTCTTGCTGACAAAGAAACGATATTTACGTCTTCACTGTCAAGTTGGTGTTTGGCTACGAGGCCTCCCACGCAATGCAGGTCAACCATGTATAATGTAGATCAGGCTGGGCTGTTCAGCACGAAACCTCCGGGCGAAAGTTCGGATTAATATATTCATCAGTGCAAATATCAGTGTTCTAACAGTAAACACAACAGTATTCCACCTACATGGCACACATTCTCTACATACAATTTCAATGTCGAGAAATTGTCTTTCCCTCAAGTATGCATTCAATGTTTTTTGGCGTGTGTCCCTTGTAACACCTGAAGGCATGCACATATTATATGCATGAACAATGTTACTAGCGTTCAGGTGGGTGTTTGCGCGACGACTTAAGGTACTCATTGAAACTGGGCTTTGTGTGGCAGACTTCTCTAAAGTTGTATAATGGGAATGTTTGTCATGATAGGTATGTGGATTACAATGTTGCGCTGCTGATATAATAGTGTACAGGCGTGGCGAGAATCGCTTTTTAACCGGTGAACGTATGATGTCCAGTATATAGGATCTGTAGAAAAGTGATGGCGCGTTTCGTTACAAGTTTGGCACACGCATGCACACACGCACGCACGCACGCACGCACGCACGCACATATAATATATATCATATAGCTGTGTACTTGCGTTTGCTGCGTGTTTGCATTTAATTACCAGAAGCTAACATAAAATGTTATTCCCCTGTTAAAATATGTTAGGGATCATGAATATTTTGGCTTAAGGATATACCTTCTCCTCACCAGGCAAATAACACTGG